GAAACCCAGCAAGGACAGTTCCTTCAGATTCCTTCCAGCATCGTTCCATCTGCAGAGAAAGGAATGCTCCTCTCCTCCGGTATAGGGGTGAGGGGCACCTCTAACCTGAGGGTCTTATGACCTGCCTCAGGGGAAGGGCAGAGGCCTTCCTGCACCTGCCATTTCTCAAATTCCTTCAGCTTAAAATATTCACTATGCCAAAGTGCCAAATGGGGTAGCGTGTCCTCAACCCCATCACTGACGACTCCATCAACTATAAGGATGCAAGGAGCGCAGTCTTTGTGCACTCTTGCTAGAAACCAGTTAAATGACACTGGTGCCCCTGCCTCTGTTCTTGCTTCCCTCCTCATCTGCCTTCACACAGCAGCCAGAGAGATGCTTCCTGAGGTCATTCAAATTGCATCACTACCCACCCTCAGATATCATGGCTTCCTATCAAGCTTGGCAAAAATTTCAAAGTCCTTGTCATGACTCACCAGGGCCCTCACGAGCCTGATGTCTCAGGCTCCTTCATCCCCTTCTTCCCACTGTGCCTTGTCTGTGTCAGACAGCCTCCCATCCTGGGCCTTTGGACTTGCTATCCTTGTAAAAATGATTTTAATGGAAATGAGAGCTCCTTTACCCCATGAGTGCCTTAAAAGAAAACCCCTTTCTTTTCAGGAGATAAGCATAGGATGTAAAAGAACTCTTATCTATACTTAGAAAATGTAATGCTCTCTCATTGACTAAAAGAAAACAAAAACAGATTACTAATTTCCTATCTATAGTTGCAACAGTCACTGACAAAGTTGATACAAAATGAAGAAGACATGCATACATGTACATATGTCAGTTGCTCTGTTGTGTCCGACTCTTTGTGACCCCATTGACTGTAGCCTGCCAGGCTCCTCTATCCATGGGATTCTCCAGGCAAGAATACTGGAGTGGGTTGCCATTCCCTTCTCCAGGGGATCTTCCCTACCCAGGGATCAAACCTGGGACTCCCTCATTGCAGGCAGATTCATCACCATCTGAGTCACCAGGGAAGGCCATAAACTTAGAAAATGTAATGCTCTCTCACTGACTAAAAGAAAAAAAAGCATTACTATTTTTCTATCTATAGTTGCAACTCACTGACAAAGTTGATACAAAATGAGGAAGACAACTCCGATTTTTAGATCTTGGAGAATAAAGGAATTTCCATTTCAAGTGCCTCTATTCATCTGCACATTCAGTTTGCAAAATTCTGGTACAAATAAAAAAACACCAAAATAAAAAAACAATCAAAATCCTACCCGCTAAAACACACCCCAAAAGCCCCAAACCAAAAGACAAACCCTGACATGAACTAATCACACGCGGGTTTCATGTGCTGTGCTTTTTTCTAACCACTGAATAGTTTTTAAGACCGCTCCAAGCAAGTCACATGAAACCACACTTGGTGAAACTTGAAGTTCTAGTTGGCTGTGCAGAGTTCTTCTTTAAAAGACTGTTACATCACAACAGGCAGTGCTGGGAAGCCTCCCGGAGAAAGATAATCAAAACAGAATTCCTCCCAGAGGGCCTCAAGCTGCTTTCTTTAAAACTGTTTGAAAACACAAATATATTTGCTTTGTGTGTTCTGCACATTTGGGGGAATTCTGTCATGAGGCAGGTAAACTGTATAGTCCCTGAAGACTTCAGAGCTCTGCCAAAGGGACTTAGGAGAGTAAAGAGAGAAGAACTGGTGAAAATGTGTAGGTTTAGAGGTAACTTACAAACTATAGTGAAAACGATAAAAAGTAAAATTCTATGAACTTCTAAAAAAAAATCAGCTGTAATCACACAGAAGGACTGTTGTATTTCAACATTATACAGGTTGGTTCGACACTGCTTACAAAAGCCTCATGGAAGTGATTCCCTTTTCATCGAGGAGACAAACATTGGGAGATTCAAAGACCGAGCTAACGGACTTCCTCTGAGAGGTTAATGCCAGTTTTTACAAAGTCAGAATTGGCACTTTAGACCTGAAGGGGTTTGGAGCGTGCCACCCTCAAAATACAAGGGCAGAAGGATCACTGCAACTGAAAGCACATGAAAAAGAGGAAACACAGCTAAGCTGTCTGCCCTCCCCCAACTGCCTGAAAGCAGAACCTAAACTCCCCTTGTGAATTCCCTACCAGGGGATAACCACCCGATCACTGGAGGCAGCATAGCACAGATAGGCGTCTACACAAACCATGCTAGACGACCCATATGGTCCATCAGTTCCCTAGCTAAATGACCTTCCCACAGCCTGCTGCCCCTAAAAGCCTACAGCCATTTTCCTTGGTATTAGTTGGAATTTCACTGAAAGTTGTTGTCTCTGATCTCATGGCTCAGACGATAGTCAGACGATAGTGTCTGCTTACAATGCGGGAGACCGGAGTTTGATCCCTGGGCCAGGAAGATACCTTGGATAAGGAAATGGCAACGCACTCCAGTACTCTTGCCTGGAAAATCCCATGAATGACAGAGGAGCCTGGCAGGCTACAGTCCATGGGGTCGCAAAGAGTCGGACATGACTGAGTGACTTCACTTTCTTGGTCTTTCTCTGCAAATGGACTGTTCTTTCTTAAAATGTTGTCTAAGCCCAAGTTCTAAACATCCCTTTGAGTTACTCATCACTGAGTTTCTCCTGCAGGTATAGGTGCTGCACATGTAAATAAACTTGACTTCTCTCTTGTCCATCTATCTGTCTTTTGGCATTTCTAACTTGCAGGGTCCCAGCTATAGAGTCTAGGGTTGTTTTTTTTTTTTACTTCCCTACAGATCTAAACACATGCCCTTGAGAACATGAAGACTCCCTAACATCAGTAACCAAATGTCCTAAAGAGTTTATGTACCCTGGAGAAATTGTGTGGAGGAAAAACAATGTGTCACTCCTATGACTGAGCAAGAGGGCTGGAAACAAAATTCTAACTGGAATTAATAGGGGAACTTTCAAGGCTCAAGGGAGACCTGTAAAGTGGAAAGAGAAAAGAGAATGGAAAACAACAAAGCTCCCGTCCCCCGATGTGAGAACTTGAAGGCACTATTCATTTAGTCCCACATTTCCAGGGCTGTATTTCTCAGGAGTCAATATGGAAGCTGTCTCAGACAGGGAATTAGAAGGAAGAAAATCTAGCCGCAGGTCATATGTGACTAGTTATGGTTGTGCTGTGGAGGCGAGCCACAGGACCTCTGTGGACGTTTCCTCAACTGTGAAGTGTACAAAATAACACTCTTTTCTTAAAGGTGACAAAAGGATCAAGTGCAAGCCTTTGGAACTCTGACTGCATCTTCAAGTAACTTGAGGAAAGAAAACAGAAATGTTGATGCTGGGGCTGCATCCCCATAGTAAAAAGTCAAAGTGTTAGTCATTCAGTCATGTCCGATTCTTTGTGACCCCACAGACTGTCTGTCCATGAGATTCTCCAGGCGAGAATACTGCAGTGGGTTGCCATTTCCTCCTCCAGGCATTCCACAGATCTAGATGTAATTGTCCCGGGGTGGGGGGTGGTCAAACTATCCCCCCAAAAGCACAAAGAATGCTCTAACTACCACACAATTGCACTCATCTCACACGCTAGCAAAGTAATGCTCAAAATTCTCCAAGCCAGGCTTCAACAATACGTGAACCGTGAACTTCCAGATGTTCAAGCTGGTTTTAGAAAAGGCAGCAGAAACAGAAATCAAATTGCCAACATCAGCTGGATCATCGAAAAAGCAAGAGAGTTCCAGAAAAATATCTATTTCTGCTTTATTGACTATGCCAAAACCTTTGACTGTGTAGATTACAATAAGCTCTGGAAAATTCTGAAAGAGATGGGCATACCAGACCACCTGACCTGCCTCTTGAGAAATCTGTATGCAGGTCAGGAAGCAACATTTAGAACTGGACATGGAACAACAGACTGGTTCCAAACAGGAAAAGGAATACGTCAAGGCTGTATACTGTCACCCTGCTTATTTAACTTATATGCAGAGTACATCATGAGAAATGCTAGGCTAGATGAAGCACAAGCTGGAATCAAGATTGCTGGAAGAAATATCAATAACCTCACATATGCAGATGACACCACCCTTATGGCAGAAAGTGAAGAAGAACTAAAGAGCAAGAGATTAGCCATCTATTTGATGAAAGTGAAAGAGGAGACTGAAAAAGTTGGCTTAAAACTCAACATTCAGAAAACTAAGATCATGGCATCTGGTCCCATCACTTCATGGCAAATAGATGGGGCAACAGTGGAAACAGTGGCAGACTTTATTTTGGGGAGCTCCAAAATAACTGCAGATGGTGACTGCAGCCATGAAATTAAGATGCTTAGCTTACTCCTTGGAAGAAAAGTTATGACCAACCTAGATAGCATATTAAAAAGCAGAGACATTACTTTGCCAACAAAGATCTGTCTAGTCAAGGCTATGGTTTTTCCAGTAGTCATGTATGGATGTGAGAGTTGGACTATAAAGAAAGCTGAGCACCAAAGAATTGATGCTTTTGAACTGTGGTGTTGGAGAAGACTCTTGAGAGTCCCGTGGACTGCAAGATCCAACCAGCCCATCCTAAAGAAGATTAGTCCTGAGTGTTCATTGGAAGGACTGATGTTGAAGCTGAAACTCCAATACTTTGGCCACCTGATGCAAAGAGCAGACTCATTTGAAAAGACCCTGCTGCTGGGAAAAATTGAAGGTGGGAGGAGAAGGGGACAACAGAGGATGAGATGGTTGGATGGGATCACCGACTCAATGGACATGAGTTTGAGTAAACTCTGGGAGTTGGTGATGGACAGGGAGGCCTGGTGTGCTGCAGTCCATGGGGTCACAAAGAGTCAGACACGACTGAGTGACTGAACTGAACTGAATCACTTTGCCATACACTTGAAACTAATAAAACATCATAAATTAACTATACCTCAATTAAAGAAAAGAATAGTATGTATAAGATTTAAAAGACAAGCATAAAAAGGTGGTACAAATAAATCACTTCAGTTATCTGCTCTTAAAAGAACATTTATTTATAATCACAAACACACCCACTTGTTATGATACCACTGCTCCCCACACTCATTGCAGATGACATAGGTCATCATTTCTTCATCTGGGCTTGAATTCCGCACCCAACTTGGAAGGAAGAGTGTCCCTCTGGGGATGATGGTAACCTGGCAGTTGAATTTCTCGCAGCGCTTGCATTTTATTTTCCTGGTTGGTGTGCCCTCCACCACTTGGGGCAGGTAATGTTCCCGTAAGGCAGATTTCGTATAGGAGGCTCTCAACTGCTTCAGTTCCTGGCTGGCCATCTCCATGGCGGTCATTTCGGCAAATTCCCTCGGAGACGTGGTCCCAGAAAGCAAGTTCTGCTGTAAGTGAGAATTGCGGGGGTTCTTCAGATTGGCCACTTTGCTGCGGATGCACGTTTTGTATTTTTGGAGGTTCTTGGGGTGAAGGGCAAAAATGTGCGCTTCGATTTCTTGTGCCAAGTTGTGCCACACGTGGGCTCTGGGCTGGCCTGGGGAGGAAGCAGTCAGAGCTTCGTACAGCAGCTCTGCACATCTGGCTCTCACGGGCACTGCAGGGTCCGGCTGCCCACTCGCTGCCAGGTCAGTGGACTGGGGGTCCTGGGTGCTGAGAGGCACTGCCTTAGGCTCTGCTCCGCCACAGCTATCTTCCGGCACGATCGTTTCAACGGCTCCTGCCACATCTTGGGATGTGAATAGAGAATTACACCTGGAGCTGCCCCGTACCTCCTCCTCCTGATTTGGGTCAGGAGGAAGGCCTTGATTTTCTTCTTGACTTCCACCGTGAGGAAATCGTTTAGGGCTGCCCTCTGGCTTGCAGAGAGTATACTTATACAGCGCTTTCCATTCTGACAGCAAATGCTTGGCTTTCTGCTTCAAAGCCGCTGTGGGGCAGTTTTTGAGGACTCTGTACACCGCCCTGACCACCTCCGTCTCCTGAAGGTGCTCTGGAGTCACATGCAGAGTTTCCAGCGCAGTGAGGTGATGGCCGAGATCCTCAAAATTCCTCTGAGACATCAGCTGCTCGATAAGGGAAACTCTGGCTGTTATCTGGTTTTTGTCAGACATCGTTAGAGCTGCCAAGAAAAAAGGGCTTTCTGTGTTCTCAAGCTTGCGTTTGCCGGGCGCAGCTCCCTCATACATGCACCGTGCTCTCTGCCAGGTACCTAGGCAGAGAAAAAGAAGAAGAAAGATGCTGAGTCATGTCCAACTCTTTGCGACCCCATAGACTATACAGTCCATGGAATTCTCCAGGCCAGAATCCTGGAGTGGGTCGCCATTCGCTTCTCCAGGGGATCTTCCCAAGCCAGGGATGGAACCCAGGTCTTCTGCATTGCAGGCGGACTCTTTACCATCTGAGCCAGGCAGAGAAAGAGTTAGGTAATAAAAGTGGGTGTGACATGTTAGAAAATGCAATCCGCAGTGCAGTATGGTTCAGTCTCAAAAGTCTGAGTCTCAGTAGTTAAAAACAACAACAACAAAAAACCAGCAGCCCTGTAAATAGCCTCTGCATTAACAATCACTTAAAGGAAGCTTGCTGAAAGAGCTGCTGTAACTTTCCCATCTCTACTTTTACAAATGAATGCCCTTTCCAGATCAAGATTAGTCAACTCCTTTGTGTGGAATTTGGTGGTTATGTTGGGAACGAAAACATGCCAATGTCAGCGTCCATGGGGAAAGGCTGAGGAGGCCAGACTATTTTCCCCTGTATTCAGCTATTTAAACTGAACTCCTTGCTGATTTTACAGTTTTTTTCTTTAATATATAGCTTTTATTGGCTGTCCTGTGGCTTGTGGGATCTTAGTTCTCCAATCAGGGGCTGAACCTAAATTCTTAAAAGAGATAGTAATACAAGACAACCCAACCTGCCTCCTAAGAAATCTGTGTGAAGGTCAAGAAGCAACATATAGAACTGGACACAGAACAACAGACTGGTTCCAAATCAGGAAAGGAGTATGTCAAGGCTGTATACTGTCACCCTGCTTATTTAACTTATATGCAGAGTACATCATGAGAAACTCTGGGCTGGAGGAAGCACAAGCTGGAATCAAGATTACTGGGAGAAATATCAATAACCTCACATATGCAGATGACACCACCCTTATGGCAGAAAGTGAAGAAGAACTAAAGAGCAAGAGATTAGCCATCTATTTGATGAAAGTGAAAGAGGAGATTGAAAAAGTTGGCTTAAAACTCAACATTCAGAAAACTAAGATCATGGCATCTGGTCCCATCACTTCATGGCAAATAGATGGGCAACAGTGGAAACAGTGGCAGACTTTATTTTTTGTGGTTCCAAAATAACTGCAGATGGTGACTGCAGCCATGAAATTAAAAGATGCTTGCTCCTTGGAAGAAAAGTTATGACTAATCTAGACAACATATTAAAAAGAGACATTACTTTGCCAACAAAGGTCCATCTAGTCAAGGCTATGGTTTTTCCAGTAGTCATGTATGGATGTGAGAGTTGGACTACAAAGAAAGCTGAGTGCTAAAGAATTGATGCTTTTGAACTGTGGTGTTGGAGAAGACTCTTGAGAGTCCCTTGGACTGCAAGGAGATCAAACCAGTCCATCCTAAAGGAAATCAGTCCTGAATATTCATTGGAAGGACTGATGTTGAAACTGAAACTCCAATACTTTGGCCACCTGATGCAAAGAACTGACTCAATGGAAAAGACCCTGATGCTGGGAAAGATTGAAGGTGGGAGGAGAAGGGGACAGCAGAGAATGAGATGGTTGGATGGCATCACCGACTCAATGGGCATGAGTTTGAATAAACTCCGGGAGTTGGTGATTGGACAGGGAGGGCTGGCGTGCTGCAGTCCATGGGGTCGCAAAGAGTCAGACACGACTGAGCGACTGAACTGACTGTGGCTTGTGGGATCTTGTTCCCTGGAGTGGAAGCGTGGAGTTCTAACTGCTGGACTGCCAGGGAATTCCCTGATTTTATAGTCTTAAAGTAGGACTTTTCTGAATATAAAAGCATAAAAAATAGAGCCAAAATCAGATGCTGTTCAGAAAGTCCCAAGGAATCTACAGAAATGATGAAACACCACAGGTTGGGAGGCAGCTGGACACAGGTCAGATGGGCCCCAACAGTCCACCAGGCCACACGATGCTGACGTCTAAGTCTTCTGAACATCGGGGTCAAGGTTCTGACTCTGCAATCCAGAGGATTTAGGACTTTGGACTAACGGGTCCCTAGGCCAGAATTCTGTTCCATTAACTTTTTTCCCCCACTTTTAGGTGTAAAAAGCTGGTTATGTCTGTGTGAACCTCATCCCGAGAAGGCAAAAGTTCATTTTATCTATTATCTGTCTCTTTTTCTCTCCACCTAATGCACACAACCTTGCCTACAAAATACCCTTGGATCTGTATCTCCCTGTTTGGTCTAAATGTGAACATAAGCATTTTGATGGCAGGAATATCATCTTTTCAAGACTCCATGGACTCTTGTTTTATAGCACGTGATATTAAATAACAATCACCAAAGACACACAGGCTCACAACACTGAAGTGATTATAGAGATAGTTAATGCAGTCTTCCTAGACACCATCTGACAAGGGCTGTAAAGTTTAAGGTCCTTTTGGTCAGCAATTCTATTTCTAAAAATTTACTTTAAGGAAATGAGAGATGTGGAGGCTGTTTTTGTAAGAATTTTCTGCTTAGAAGAAATGATGAGGTTCCAAATGGTTAGGCTTGCACACAAGCATTCATAGCAGCATTGCTCATAACAGACAAAAAGTGGGAACAATCCAAATGTCTATCAACTGAGGAATCGAGAAACAAACCATAATATATCCATATAATGGGATGTTGTCAATAAAATGAAATTCTGATAGAGACAACATGGATGAGCCTTCAAAGCTTTATGCTAAATTGAAGACACAGATTGTATGATTTCATTTACATGAGATGTCCAGAATACACAAATCTAGAAACAGAATGTAAATTCACGGTGGACCAGGGCTGGGATGGAGGGAATCAGGGAACCAGTGGGGTGGAATGAAGAGGCGGTGGCTATTAATGGGTACACAGCTTTTCTTGGGGGAGGTACAAATTCTTCTCTCAAATTGACTGTGATAACCATTGTACAGCTGTGAATATGACTTAAAAAAACCCCACTAAACTGTACACTTAAATTAGGTGAACTTATGGTACAAAAAGTGTATCTGAACAAAATTGTTATTTAAAAACAACATCGAGGGAATGCCTTGGCAGGCCAGTGGTTAGGACTCAGTAGTCTCACTGCTGAGGGCCCGGGTTCAATCCCTGTTCAGGGAACCAAGATCCCATAAGCTGTGCAGTGTGACCAAAAAAAAAAAAAAGCTAAAAATTAATAAAAATAAAACAACATCTAAAGTCTATTTATTTGTATCTTTAATATTTTTTCTGGTCATGCTGCACAGCTTGTGGAATCTAAGTGAAGTGAAGTCGCTCAGTCGTGTCCAACTCTGCGATCCTATGGACTATAGCCTACCAGGATCCTCAGTCCATGGGATAAAGTCTGATCCAAATTTTATTTAAAAATCACAAGTGAAGAGAAAAGGCTGAAAATAGATACAAAAGACTTCCGACAGTGTTATTTTCTGGATGGCAAGATCTCAAGTGATTTTTGTTTGTTCTTTTACTCTTTTTTATATTTTCTATTGATGTTTACATATGCAGTTTTCCTAATCAGAAAAGTTATGGGTCTATTACAATTTCATGATAAACTCTGTATGTTCCAGAGATTTGTCTACTGAAAAATGAGATGGTACATGGATCACCCCAGTCCTACTGCCCTTTGGAATCAGGACACCAGAAGGGAAGCGCCTCACCTCATCTGTGACTCTGCATTCTTATCAGCTTTCACCTTCCTCAGAAGCCCACTGCTGCACTAGAAACCGTTCCATCTCCCCTCAAACCTGATCCCCAAATATGAACAGGTGATCACCCACAGCTACAACTTTGAGGTTCCTACTGGTTTTTCCCCATTGCATAGTGCACCTGATCAAGGTTCTGGGTCTTGTATTTTTTACCACCTGGTAGTCTTTTTTACTTATTATTCTTTTTTAGTCAGTTAACAAGAATGCAATGGGGCACTGATTCTGGATTGTAAGCGGTATTCTCTAATTATTGAGAACTGGTACCTCAAGATCATTGTTTTTCCTTTTTGAATTCCATTTCTTTTTTTGAATGATCAGAATGAAGATTTATGTGTTGATTAATTTTTCTGTACATAAAGTTTTATTGGAACACAATCCTACCCATTTACTTATATATTGTTCCTTTTAAAATTTTATTGTAGTTGATTTACAATGTTACGTTCATTTCTGCTGTATAACAAAGTGATTCAGTTGTATATAAATATTCTTTTTCATATTCTTTTCCATGATGGTTTATCACAGGATGTTGAATATAGTTCCCCATGCTCTACAGTAGACCTCATTGTTTATCCATTTGTATATAGCCAGTTTGCTTCTGCTAATCCCAAACTCCTAATCCTGCCTCCCTCACCACGTCCTCTTGGCAACCCCAGTCTGTTCTCTATGTCTGTGAGCCTGTTTCTGTTTCATAGGTTCATTTGTGTCGTATTTCAGATTCCATAGATAAGTGATGCCATATAGTATTTGTTTTTCTCTTTCTGACTTATTCACTTAGTATGATAATCTCTAGGTCCATCCATGTTGCTGTAAATGTCATTATTTCATTGAAATCCACTGCAACAGTAAAAAGGGTCTTCCTAAGAATCAAAGGCTCAGTCAACAAAGAACAGGCAAGACAGCACAGAAAAATTAAAAATACACATCCTCACTTGCTGACTACTGCTCTCAGCACTGTCTGCTTGAGATCTCGGGACCTGGAGGAAGTCAAGTAAGGGAGTCACGACGGTCCGGTCACAAGGAGCTCAGGGCACTTGAACCCTCCCCCACGTGTGGGAACATTTCCTAGCAAGGACACAGTCTCCTCACGTTCTATACTCATTCTCTACGCATCGTTACCTGAGAAAGCAGGACTGAACTGGGCTGGATGTCAGCAAGGGGGTTAATAAGACACTGGTCTAGAGTTCCCCCAAGAAGGTT